TCGACCCCAATCTACAAGATTCAGAGACCTTTCTTTCTTTTCTTTTTTTTTAACAATAACTGATATGAACTGAGTTATTTCCTATCGACAACTCAGGGGGAATTCCGTAACAAGCGACCACTACGAAATAGAGTATAATACTAGGGAGTGCTTATTTAGGCCACATATGGCCTAAATAATGTAAGGGAGGGGGGTTTAGCTTATTTAGGCCACAGTGGACTGTGGCCTAAATAAGGTAAGGGAGGGGGGTTTAGCTTATTCAGGCCACAGTGGACTGTGGCCTAAATAAGGTAAGGGAGGGGGGTTTAGCTTATTTAGGCCACACATGCTCAAACTACCCTTTTCAGGCAACTGAGTTCGTTCCACTTTCATAGTGGTGCACTTTTCTCATTTAGTCCGGTTTTGTCTCAGTGTACAACTTATAAATCATAACCATAATGAATATTGTAAAGAACAAAGCACAATACGCAAAATTTTGCTCAATCCCAATGGTTTGAATGAGGGCCAGATTTTTCCTTCATGGAGGGGCAAAAGCAGAAGGTTAGAGGTGTTACAAGAGAGTAACAAACATAAAAAAGAAGAAAGGAAGATAAGGACGACAGATGTTTGATAGGAAAGAAGGAGCAAACCACACCAGAGCACCCGCCAACCGCCCACTCGCTCGTTAAGTCCTTCCTACACCTCAACACTTTCATGGAAAGTACCGTATTACACAGATAGCCCAAATTCACCGGGACCGGCTTCAGTAGTTCGAGGGATCCGTAGTTCGAGGGATGTCTTATAAAGATAAAGAAGAAAAACAGTTCAACGGATGCATGATTCCGAGTCTTCTGTGTTCAACCTGCCTGTGTTATACAGTATTTCATTTTTAATTGTGAAATTGTTTGGGGGTATATTTATCTATTATATTATATTATATTAAGTTACATGTGTTACAAAGTTACGGTTATAGTTATAACATAGACATAAATATGGGTCAATCCACCAATGTGTGGGATAAAATCTAAGATAAGCATCCATTTTTTAAAAGAAGATGCCAGAAACTTGCCTTTTATGTGAGGTATTTCTCATACTATGAAGGGTCATTCCCAGAAAAAATTGGAGCAGTGGCTATTGTGGTTTTTCATATATATTCCAGTTTGTGTGTCATATATACAATGTATATATCACTTTCGGTCTTAAATGTAACAAAACACAATACATACATTAAACACAAGACAAAATAAAAGAAATCTGCAAATATTTTTCATGAAACCATTTAATTATTCCAATTGACAAACACATGCCAAAACTTCAATATTAAAATATTATTGCAAGTGACACATATACAATACAACTGCTACAAGGTCTTGATTAACAGACACTGAGAAGTTTTAATAGCATAAATCAACAAGGATTTTGTAGGTTCTACCAATATTGTTATTCAGTACAAAATGACCAAACCATAAATTTTTTAAAAATCGAAAAGAAAAGAGAAAATAAATGCAGGAAAAGGTAACAAAATGGGATTTCAGTCTTATTTGTTACCAGACAAAAAAAAATTTGCAAGTTGTTGTAAACAGGTAAAACAAAAAGCACTAGGAACACCAACACTAAGATGTATTCAAACTATCTATAGAAAGTCAATGAGCACTATTCATGGGAACAGAGGTTACAGATAAAGAGGAAAAAGAAAAAGAACCTGTTACAGGACATTATGAACGATACGAAATGAAAGAAGAGACGAACTGTTGGCGAGTTTAGTAGTAGTAGTATAGGGTTTTACGGCGCTCGCAACTGCATTAGGTCATATGAGCGCTTTGGCGAGTTTAAGTGAAATATAATAATAATAAATAATAATAGATAGCATTTGTATAGCGCAAATCCCTGCTTAACAGCAAGCTCTATGCGCTTCACAATCTATACTATTACCCCAGCAGACCTGAGAGCATTCTGAAACAACCTCAAACTCAACTTCCTGGAAAGCATACAGTGCAAGCAGCCATTTATAGGCGCTAAAACACTAACATACTGACAAAATCTTTTGCTGTCTATGGCCGGGTACCCATTCCCACCTGGGTGAAAAGAGGAAAATTCATGTAAAGTACCTTTCCCAAGGACACAACGTCGGGCCCGCAGCTCAAACCCCCGAACCCGCAACCTCACAATTACAAGTACAAGTCCGGTAGCCTAACCACTAGGCCAAATATACCTCAAATTGTGAAACTTAATGCTTAGAATTACATTTTTAAAGTCCTTTCTACAGACAATTTGCATTTTAAAGTGAATGTGATGTTCATGATCTTCAGGTCATCCAATGGCAGATGTAAAATTTAAGATTTGAACATGAGTAAACCTCAGTTAATTCTTTACAAATTACTTATTTATAGCTAGCTCTCTAGGAAGAATGTAGGCCTACAATAAATCTGTTCTAGATTGCTCCATTGGCTACCGCTGATCCAAGCCACAGTCTCACATACTCACAATAAGAGATAAGAAATTCATTCATAGTCCATAAAAGGACATTGTTAAGAGTTTTTTTTTAATGTAAGCGGCGCATCGTTAACAAACACACACACAAAATAATGTCATAGGCAACTCCATTTCCATGTATCACTATTTCTTTTAAGACAATAATAATTTTGAAGATGTTGGCAAAATAGGCATAGAGTAAGTCCACCAAGTCAAACCAACCAAAGCGACACCTAGCAGGGACCCTGGCTGATTGAGAAAATCCTGTTTCAAACACATTTTGCGCATGGATTCAAAGTTCTTCAGGTTAATCTAAAAACTAAGACATTCAACATTAAAAAGGATAAAGAGTTGTAAGTAATAATTATTAATAGATCTAACCATACAGAGAGAGCTCAATCACAAAACGGAATCTGAAAAGTGACTGACAATGGAAAACAATTATTTTACCCCTTAAAACTCTACACCGCTGGTAACTGCTGGTCAACTTTATTGTTTAATTCCCAGGGCTACAGTGCTAGAAACTTGGAGTGTAACTCCACATGTCTCTGCCGCCAGCAGAAAGTATCGATAATGTCATGAGAGCAGCTCTATACCAAAAGTTTGGAATATATTTGCAAGTTGCTGTTTTTTAAAACGAGATACTTTTCACTGCCAGGCCCATCAGGTGGCAATACATTCGACATATTTGATCCTGAACCAGATCCAGATGATGATTCCCAGCAGGACATATCGATAGATATGACTGACTGTTGAAGACGATAGCAATGTTTCGCATACCATTGATGATGATTGTGACGATAGAGGAAATGACAAGGGATCACAAATGATAGAGCTACCAGAGGCTAGATCTACAGCTGGGTCTAATGATGCTTTGACCGTAGTGGAGTCGGGGTTCACACACAAGACTTAACTCATAGAGTTGGTCCAAAAATCTAGTGTTTTAATCTTTTGTCCCCTTTTGTCCAGACTGTGCATTCATAATATACATAACATATTCAAATTTCAGTAAAATCTGACAACCATTAAAGACACAGTAAATAAAACAATGAAACAATCTAATTTTTCCTATTGTCTCTTTGTAATTCAGGATACTCAGAGTTGTAAGGGTTAACTCATACAGTGCTACAGACGAGAATACTCGCGAAACTTGAGCCTCACCCGCACACTAGCGAAGATATTTTCCCATTCTGCCTCAATATCTTTACAGAAAAAATTACTCTATCTAATCCATACCAAGTTATTTGAACTAATCACGAAGCATTATTATAAGAAAGGTCAAGGAGACATTTTTTCCTGCTCAAATAGCCATTGAGCCGGCTAGTTTTGATTGATTTTCCTGGGAAGACCTAATTTCATGTTCCCTTATATCCGTATAACAAAATTGCCCAGTATATGAGGGGAGTTCACTGCTGGGGCGCTCAGCACTGAATGAATTAGTCAGGGATGCCAAATGATTTTTGAAAAAAACCCTGAAAATGAGCGGAGCATCACATCTCACCTAAACCGAACCTTGTAAAATCTTTCAATGAGCAAACAAAAACATTTCTCTTACCATTGCCCTTTCCTTTGTAAGAGTAGGAAAAAGCAGGAAAAAGCCGGAAAAACTGGAGAGTTGGCATCCCTGGTAAGTAAAGCCATTACAGCTTCGTTTTGTTTTAGTAAGAGTTTTACGGCACTTGAAACACAATAAGGTCATATAAGTGCCGAAGATTCGAGGTGTTACAAGAGAGTAACAAACATAAAAAAAGGAGAAGAGATAAAGACGATAGTTGTTTCATAGGAAAGAAGGAGCAAACCACACCAGAGCACCCGCCAACCACCCACATTGCAGCTTCAGATAAAAACATCCTCTCCCTGCTCTCCATGGTAGGTGGTTCAACAGGAGGGAGAGCACAGATGGGTAGAATCTACCGTAAAGGTGTGGACAGTTGATATCAAACAGGATAGACCATAGAAACCTTAAATGTAAAGGTGTGGATGGTCGATATCAAACAGGACAGACCATAGATACCTTAAATGTAAAGGTGTGGACGGTCGATATCAAACAGGACAGACCAAAGATACCTTAAATGTAAAGGTGTGGATGGTCGATATCAAACAGGACAGACCATAAATACCTTAAATGTAAAGGTGTGGATGGTCGATATCAAACAGGACAGACCATAGATACCTTAAATGTAAAGGTGTGGATGGTCGATATCAAACAGGACAGACCATAGATACCTTAAATGTAAAGGTGTGGATGGTCGATATCAAACAGGACAGACCATAGATACCTTAAATGTAAAGGTGAGGATGGTAGATATCAAACAGGATAGACCATAGATACCTTAAATGGTCGCTTTTGAGTATAAGCGGGCTAACCCAGATTTTGGAAGCTTTTCAGAAATCTTGACGTACCCGGTGCACCATTAGTGGGCAGCGCCCTACCTATCTAGGAGAAGTTTGGTTTCTTTGGTGTGTATATTTGTTTGGTTATAGAGAAAACTCTCCTTGTCTTTTAAAGAAACTGAACAAGGGTCCAAAAACTTTACCTTCCATTTTCTCAAAACAGCATTTTTTGGGATAGCTCACTTGTGCTTAAAAGCGACCAAATATAATACAAGACACAGAACAACTAACACGCCATGTTGATTAGCCGCCGCAAACCCAGTGCAGTTTCCTTTAATGAAGAGCTCTCCTCAAGGATGAACAGTAGAGCTGTTTCCCTTGTTGGGCACACAACATCATATTATGGTAAAAAATATAAATGTTCCATGCTCCCAACCAATGTCCTCTGTCAGCGGCCGTGGGAAGTGGCTTCCACTGCAACGGCAAAACCTCACACGCTGCACTCATCTGCTTCTGGGGCTAGAACCTGAATGGGAGCAAACAATTCAAGGAAAACTGAAAGCGCTGGATGGGTGATTTCTTTGCACATACAGTATAACAAGGATAGCTCAAATTCGTCGGGACCAGCTTCGGTAGTTCGAGGGATCCATAGTTCGAAGCATATCTTACAAAGATAAAGAAGAAGAAAAAACCCCAGCAGGACCACAGGCACACTTCGACGGATGCATGATTTTGAGTGTTCTGTGTTTGACCTATCTGTGTTATACTGTAGTTGACAAAGAGGAGAGAACATGGAGAATAAAATAGGATTGAGACTGAAGGTAAAACAATAAAACATCAGTGGGATTGGGGGGG